GACTCTATACGTGACAGACATAATGCAGGTACTTATACCAATAATAAATCTTTTCCGATTTTATTACACGAAGTAATCACTCCTCTAGTTACCGAAACCTTTGGAGTTGGTGTCAGTATATGAACATGTGTATCCGGCGTTTGGTGTGCTAGTGCAGAAGCATATGTTCGCTTCACTTGACAGTGAGGATCATTATGTCCCAAGTTATAGCATACTTGACGTTTTTCTGTTATACAATCACGTTTTATATGAGCGGACTGTTTACAGCGGAAACAGACTCTTTCTCGTCCTTCAAGATGCACTGGAACAGTTAAACCATACAGCTTAAAGGATATAGGTACCATTTCTTCTTCCTTTTTCGATGAAAAACGCATGCGCACACGTCTAACAAACGTTTTTATGGATTTGTATGGGGCAGGAAGGTTTTCACATTCAACGCTAACAATCGTACCTCCCCATCGGCTCACGATCTGACTTATTTCATCATCACTGATCGATGTGGGTACTCCCATCAACCGGATGATTTTTGGTTCTTGATACGCTAACTGAATTGAAAATCTCTGCGTACCGACTTTCAACTCTCCTTTCTGTAACAACCTCTGTTGTGACAATGGTTCACCAAATCCGATAAACCATTCTCTTATGGAGCCTAAATTGCCGATGGACTCAGTTGTGTCAGATGAGCCGAGAATTGTACTCACTGCTTGTACTATGGCACAACAGTCTATTTTATCATCGCCACTTGCCAGGATCAATGAAACAGATCCCTTCAAGAGTTTATGGCGTGACATTCTTTTCGCGTCACAATTCTGTGAAAATTGAGACGTATCAGAGTCGGACACGTCAGTTAACTAGTATGATGCAGCCAGATTTACGTAGGTAGGTACGCAGCGAAAATGAAATTATCTAATAGCCAATCTAACCAGTCATTAATTTCATTTCTACTACATCCAACAAAAGATCGTGTTAGCGCGATACCTGTTATGTCAGATGTAGCAATAAAGATCTGTATTCACCAAAGTGTATCGATACGTCAAGATGAGATGAACTTTTTGAAGGTTTTCCTAAATTATCTGACAACGATCGGGATGTCATGGAAGGTGAAATTACAGCTGCTGTATAACAGCTCTAAAAGAAATGAAATTACGTAAAAGCCCTGGTGAAGATGGTATGACGGTTGAAATATGGGAAACGATCTTCCCTATAATAGGTGATCATTATGCAAACAATAACAAAATTTTCATTTTGAAAAACATATAACCAGCAGAGATGGGATCGGTTGGTGTTTTTCTGCAACCGAACCGATTCGAACCGAAACTTTCTGAAACCGAACCGAACCGATTTACGAAAAATTCAAATCGAACCGGTCCCACCTTTGATGGATACTATAGGGCAAATCCATCTGAAATCTCCCATGTTTTACTAAAGTTTTCCCGCTTCACTTAAGACCAATCTAGTTTTATAGAGCACCTCAAATTATCTAAGAAAGAAACTGTCTTTTCTGACTTCATAGCTGATGCAGAACCCGAGAAACGATGTCAGAAAAAAAGAACAATGGTCAGTTAGCTATTAATGATGGTGACACCATAACTAACGGCGGCCTCAGCTACTGTATAAAACTTTGAAAACGCGGGTTTTTATGGTCATAATCGAACTGAGAATGCAAGAAAATCTATATTCTGTATCTGAATAACCCTGACTTCTTAAATTCGAGATGAGGAACGCGACAGTTATAATATCTACTTTTAACATGTGTTTCCAGTCGAGGAATGGAACACAATGATTTCTATGGTAACTTTTGTTTTTCGCACCGAGTACTTCTAGTTGTCGTTTACAACAAGTCGAACTGTCTGACAATTTGAATATGATTAAACAATCATCAATCATTGCGAATGATTATTGTCAACAATCAAAACTATTTGAATTGATTAATTATTTACAAGGGTATCAATCAGAGGTGGCGTCTTGATTCTTTTCTCATTTGTTGTGCTTCGGTTTGTAACAATACGATCAAACTTGTTTTGAAATCAATCCATCATTCTAATGACTGAAAATCGGTAATTTGAAAAATTGTATTGTTTTGAGATAAGGTATACGACGGTAGCAAATAGGTGTTTGAAAATGGAATTTATGCCTTCTTTTACTATCGTTTCCTGTGATAAGGTTTTGCAGGATTTAATAGGATCCCACAAGATCCTATATGATCCTACATGGGATTTGATAGGATCCTGTAGGAAGTGACAGGATCTTCTGGGAGTTTTGCCAGGCCATATTGATCCGGCTCTTCTCCCTCATCTACTTCCTGCTCTTGATTGTATATGTCATCATACTTTATTAGTATATGTCGTTTTTGGCAGTATAGTTCTGTTTTTATTTTCTTATCTGTTCCATTTCACAAACAAAAATCAAAGTAAAGAAAATCACAAAACAATATGATAAAAAGCAACAAAATCGCCATAACTTTCATAAAACATTCCACAAAGAGAATTTCGTTTATTTCACGAAATCAATTCTACTGAATCAGTAACAATCCTCGTGAAAAACCGAAGGAAAACAAACATATAAAAACAAAGAGAGCGCGCAAAAACCTTCGTTTTGTTGAAAAGATCATACAAAAAAAGTAGAAGATAGGAGACTATGATGTAAAAAATGTTTACGCCTGTGTGCCAAATGTTATGTACGAACGACAATACGAGAAAGAGAATACATGAGTTTTAAAAAGACAAAAGTGTTTTGCGCAGTACTCCGAAACAGTAGAGTCATCCCTGTAACCCAAAAACCATGATAGCTAGGGACTTTGAATTTTGTGCGATGGTGCGTCCCACTGGATCCGGATTACTCAACAAAGTTTAGTCCCTCTTGATTGGATGATTCGGGAGATATAAGCGTTTCATTTCTTTTCCGTAAAATGCTAATAAAGCCTAGCCAAAGAGAGATGAAAATTTCGAAAATTTTACTTTTTTACCGAAATGTAGTTATCACTCTTCTTTAGCTACGATATGAATTTGAAGTTCGATCTATTGCTTGATTCAATAGTTAACCAACTTTGCGTGAACAATTGAACGTACAATTTTTTTACACTAAAGCTGCTTGACTTGGAAGCTCATGCGTTTTTAGAAGCACTGGTATATTTCTTGCTAATAACAAAGTAGCGCGAAAACAAATTGCAGTTGTGTTAGTTTTTCTGCAGT